GGGGGGGGGGGGGGAGGCGGTAATGGAATACGGGAGGGGGTCTCATTTTTTTACTTCTGTTGCTCTTTGCTGGGTTGGAGTGTTGGAGTGGAGGACAAACAAACATGGCTGGACCAAAAGCTTGTGGAGGGATGCTATGTCAGGAAGAGGTAATGATGTTTGCTTATGAAATTCAACGATCTTGTGTATTACTTATCCTTTTCTTTTTCCTTTCCTCTGTATTACTCTGTGATGTATGTAGATTGGCAACGGTTGCGATGGAGAGAAAATGGCCATTATGTGGTGGTATACTCATACTATAATAGACTCTCGTGGTATGCACACCGGTAGAGGATGAAGAGGGGACGGGGCAGACAACGGCTGGTGATGTATATTACATGGTAATCTATGCTACATGACACGACAGGAGAGGAACGCCTTATCTACACGGCTCTCAACGGCAGGATATGTTGGACCATGGCGTCCCTCCTGCACAGCGGACACTCGGGCTTCTCCCTGACCCAGTCACCGATGCACTCCCAGCAAAAGACGTGGCCGCATTGGGTGGCAGCCGGGTCCTTGAGCTCCTCGAGGCAGAGGGTACACTTGCGCTGCTGAGCGCCCGCGATGTAAGCCATGACGGCGTCGTCGGCGAGGTCATGACGGGGCGTCCCCGCGACGGGGGTGTTTGTGGCGGCAGCGATGTCAACCTTTGTCGTCTGCGTCGTCCTGCCACCACCCGGGAGCAGCAGTTCGCCCGAGCTGTAGTGGACGTCGTGGCTGTCGACGGCGTCGTCCGCATTCTGCAAGGTAGCGCGCAGGTGGAGGTAGGCCTGTACGGCGAGCTGGAGGACCAGCAGCACGCCCAGGACCTCGTAGCCCGCCCTGTCGGGGGTGTCGGGGACGGAGCGGGTGAAGACGTAGCGGAGGGAGAGGAGGCGCTTGCTGAGCTGGTAGTACGATCCGCGAAAGTAGAAGACGGCCAGGGTGAGGGCCTGGACGGGGGAGGCCGACGTCACCGAGGACAGGTGCCTCAGTATGTACCCCCAGAAGAGAGCCTCCCTGCCACGGACGGATCCGCCGGCCTTGCGGTCGCCTTCGCCCTCGCCTCCTCCGCCGGGGGAGGAGGCGCGCTCGAGAGAGGCGAGCCTCCGCTCGATCAGGGCCCTGAGCCGCCTCCGCAGGCCGGGGAGTCCCCTGGAGACGAGGTAGGGCAGCAGTATGGACCCGGAAATGTACGCCGCCCGGCGGCGCAGGGAGGGTAGGCGTCCGGTGTCGGCCTCCAGCTGGACCAGGTCGCAGTACTCCTCGCCCAGGGTGCGGTTCCCCGGCAGCGTCGTCAGCGCAAAGTACAGGAGCGAGGCGGTCGTGCGTATCTCTGCGGAGAGCGAGTGGGCCGAACGCGCGCCCCAGATGCGTCGGTGCACGTCGCTCAGCGTGTCGGACAGGTGGCCGGTGAAGTAGGCGTCCTTCTGGTGGGAGCGGATGATGTCCGGAGCGGCCGCGAAGGCGTATGGCGATACCGATACTGTTGAGGGGACGGCGGTGGTGGTGGCGGTGGCGGTGGTCATGTTTGGCCGTGGGGTTCTGTTTGGGGGGGGAGAGGGACCTTGTTCGGTGGGTGTCGGTTTGAGGGAGGAAGGGGGAGCTTGCCGTCGCGTGTGCTTGTGTCTGGAGGTAGTGGTGGTAGCGGTAGCGGTAGCGAGTAGCGTTGAGGCTCTGTACGGAGCATTACAGATTAAGATGGGGTTAAGTATCAAGATGATCTATTATCTTTACATTGGGTTAAAGCCGAAGTCGGTCGGAGTTGGAGTTGGTGGAGTTGGGCTGGGACCTCGGGACGCGCTGACGAGCCCCATGTGCCTTTCTGTCGCCGACACTTTACGTGCATATTATCCTATCCGTACGAGCATCACTACTCCGCAACGCATGTATTTGTCTCCATTTCGCAGCGGAGACATTGGCAACGTCATCTGATCATGAATCAAATAATTCATCATTTTACGAAGAAGAACTCTGCGGGACAAGGCAAGGAAGGCCATGCTAGTCGCTATGCGCGGAATGACTCATCACTACTCCCTGACGACGCATCCCTAGGCGTGTGGTAGGTACGCTGACCATTCGACCTGGACAAAGGCGGAGGCGTCGATCTCGCGCAGCCCGGTGAAGCCCCCGACAAGCTGATAGAGACGCGCGATGGTGTACAGCACAGCGATGGGGGCGGTGGACCAGAACTCCCAGGGCAGCGGAAGGGCGGACATCTCGCGGGATCTCTCCTGGTCGAGGCGGAGCGTGGTGCGGCGCTCGAATGCTGGCAGGCTGGGCCTGTCAGAGATGCGGAGGTAGAGCCGCGTCCAGCGGCCGAGGCGGTGCCACGAGGCGACGGTCTCGAGGACCCAGAAGAGAGCGGTGACGGCGAAGAGGATCAGGCTGGCGACGCGCCAGAGCACCCTCTCGACGCTGGTGGGGAAGGGCAGGTACCAGCCGGCAACGTGCAGGCCGGTGAAGACGAGGGTGGCCAGGCAGAGGAGGTACTCCTGGGCTCCGTGGGGGTCCATGGGGAAGCGGTCGTTGGGGATGGCCTGGATGGGGCGGGTGGGCGGGATGACGGGCAGGCCCATGAAGGGCTGGACGTTCATGGCCCACCCGGGCCCGTTCTCGTCGACGAAGTCGAGCGGCGTGGTCCGCCAGGCCCGCCCGCCCGTCATGGCGTCGACGTCGTAGGCCGAGTCCACTTCTCCGGGTGCATCCTCGTGGCGCCCTTTGCCGACGTGGAACTCCTCACGGCCAGCTACCGCGTCGCGGGGACGGTGCCGCTGCTCGAGCCGCTGGTCAAGTTCCCGCGCCTCATGGCCTTCCTCAACCACTTCATACATGACAAGTGGCGCTCAAAGGACCGGCTGGCAGAGTTTGTGCGTCTGCATCATCATCAGGACGACGACGGCCAGAGCCAGAGTCAGAGGAGACGACCCGAGTACCACATCTCTATCCTCCACGGCGAGGACGACTACGACATACCCTGGACGCACAGCGATCAGCTCTTCTGGCACGCCGTTAGCGCTACCGAACCCACCGGCATCACGTACGAGGAGCTGGAGAAGGAGAAGTCCGACACCAGGGTGGACTTGGGTGCTGGCGGGTGGATGGTGGAGCGTAGGTCTTCGAGGGGCGTCATCACCGAGCAGATTCTCAAAAACGGTCTGCACGACAGGATCATGGGGTATCCAGTCGTCAGCCTGGCGATTTACAAGGCATTCAACCACGAGTGACGTCTTCTCTTCCCCATAAAAACCATAGCAACCATAAAAAAAGAAACCAAGGGGAAGAGAAGCAGATATAAGATGCTATGTTACGAGAGTAAACAAGAAGTAAAGACGTAAGGAGATCAAGACAATCATGCATCACAAACTTACATGATGGTTCCAAAGACACTGCAGACCGCCGGGAAGAGAACAGCATCCCACCCCCCCCCCCGTTTATAGTGTGTCCAATCGCCCCCCTCCCCCCCGTTCCCCCTAATCGACGGTAGTTAGGGGGGGTAGACCCCCCCTAACTATGGAATTGGTAGTACAGATACAGGTGCCGATTTGCCTAGAGGCCAGATCGGCGGCGATAATCTTGATTCTACTTGGCCTTCATCACTTTCAACCTTTCCCTTCCACACACACACACACCACACACAACCGTCTCTTCATCGCACGAGCCCTCCCTCCCTTGATTGAGACGTCGCATCACCCTCCTCCGCCCGATGTTTGCATCCACAGCGCACAATGGACGGTGACCCTGCGGTGGAGCCGGAGCTTGACTCCTTCAGCCTGACGTTTCCTCTGCCTTATCGCGTGGGCTTTCTCTTCACATTGGGTAGGTCTCTCTCTCTCTCCCTCCCTCCCTCCCTCCCTTATGCATATATATATATATATATATATATACAAGTGTGTGTGTGTGTGTGTGTGTGTGTGTGATGGGGAAATACAGTGACATGCTAACGTCTTCCTTTTCTCTACCGTAGCCGTCTGGGGCTGGGGTCTAAACCTCCACTACCTCTACTTACTCAAGATCGATGTCCCCTCGCTGATACGGTACCCGGGTCGCACGTCGGTGCACCGGGTGCCTCACCACTTCTCGACGTACCGGCTCGCGACTGTCCTCTCGGGCCTCCTCGGCCTGTCCATGCTGCTCTTCTGGCTGCTGACGTGGCGCGTGCCGTCGCGCGTCATCGCCTTCGACTGGATGCCCATGACGTACCTGGTAGCCATGGTGGTCGTCTTCCTCGCACCGCTGCGCAACCTCCCCTCGGCCGGCCGGCGACGATTCTTCTCCACGCTCCGGCGCATATGCCTGGGCGGCATCGCCGAGGCCCAGGACGGAAAGTTCGGCGACATCCTCCTGGCCGACGTGCTCACGTCGTACGCCAAGGTCCTGTGCGACCTGTACGTGTCGGTGTGCATGTTCGCCACGCCGGGCGGGTCGTCGACGCTCCGTCCGGACCGCGAGTGCGGCGGCGCCGTCGCCGTCCCCATCCTCCTGGCCGTCCCCAGCGCCATCCGGTTCCGGCAGTGCGTCGTCGAGTTCTTGCGCGTCCGCCGCGCGCCCTACCGCGAGTCCACGGGCTGGGGAGGGCAGCACCTCGCCAACGCGCTCAAGTACTCGACCGCCTTCCCCGTCATCATCGCCGGCGCCATGCAGAAGGGACCCGCCGCGGCGAGCTCGGACGGCGGCGACGCGGGCCCGGGTGCGGGTGCGGTTGCGGGTGCGGGTGCGGGTGCTGCGCCGGCCCTGAGCAAGGCCTGGCTGTGCGCCGTCCTCGTCAACTCCCTCTACTCCTTCTACTGGGACGTCACCAAGGATTGGGACCTGACCCTCTTCTCCGGGAGGAGGGAGCGCTCGTCGCCCCACCACCCCTGGGCCCTGAGGGCCCGACTCATCTTCCGTCCCGTCAACGCCTACTACGTCGTCATCCTGCTCGACCTGGCCCTCCGGTGCACGTGGTCCGTCAAGCTGAGCGCCCGGCTGGACGCGTACAGCCGCTTCGAGGGCGGCATCTTCCTCATGCAGCTGCTCGAGATCTTTCGACGCTGGGTCTGGATCTTCCTCCGTACAGAGGCCGAGTGGTTCAGACACAACCCTCCTGGTCTTGGGGCCGATGACATTCTCATGGGCAGCTATCAGGATGACGACGACGACGACCTTGATGACGACAAATAAAATCTCTCTCCCTCTCTCTCTTCCTTCTTCTTCTTCTTCTTCTTCTTCAGCTGTGCCGACTATTTCTTTCCATCTTGCTTGTTACAGACTACATCTCACGCACTTGGGTTGTGCGGATATTGCAAAAGGGAGTGGGGGGGTGGGAGTTATATGCTTGGTGTCCTTGTCTTGTCGAATCTATCATAAGAGGACTCTTCTTAACTCGTGTATTTGAGTCTTTTCTGTTCTTCTCTCTTCTTCTTCTCTTCTCTTTGTTGATATACATATTTGGCGATAGACTGTTTGATAGCATATAGAACTTGGAATTGGTCTCGATATTCCCCCTCCTTCGGCCTTTGCTGCTTCCCCCCCACCCTCCTTCACTTCACCACTCCTACTTCCCCTCCTGTGAAGTCAGGATGATGCGATCACTCTCGACCCCTCGTGACACGGCAATGATGAAGGAAGAGCATGGTCCATCTTGCTCCCACATGGAACGAGACTCCTTCATTCGTCACATATCTGAGGGCGGAGGGCTGCCTCGGTATACACAACATATCAAGATTCATCATCGTCGTCATCCTCCCTCCCCCTCCTTGCTGTCTACATACTGTCGATGAGATGCAGCGGTTCACACTCTGTTTCTCTATTTCTCTTAAACAGGTTCCACGTGTCTTGTCTCCTTTTTTTTTTCCGTGACACGGGTTTTTTCTTTTTTGTATCCTGTGTGTGTGCGTGTACCCTTGATCTTCTCCGCTTATTCCTCATGTCGTACAGCTTGGACAACCGGCAAGGAAGAAACGATGGGAAAACCAGAGGCACTAGCTCACAACGCTACCTTATTTCTGACCGCTGGTTCTGTGAGAGGTGGGAGCGCGGCAAATGAAGAGGTAAGGGAGAAGTATAAAAAGCTTTAGGGGTTTGTTGCCTCACTCAAGGGATCCATGTGAAGAAGAAGAAGAAGAAGAGGGAGGGAAAACAAAAAGAGAAGGGAAAGAAGAAGCCTGTGCAGCCTGATTGTATGTGGTGCCTCTCTCTCTCTCTCTCTCCCTCTCTCCCTGACCTTCTTGTGATGCCCAGAGGGCCTGCTTGAGGCGACACCAACGTTCGAAACAGCAGACAAGCTCGCTTAGCAGAGTCGCTTACAAGAGCCTGAAAGAAAAGAAGAGAAAAGAAGGAGGGAGGAGAGTCGCCCTCTATCTCGACCTGGAAGAAGAAGTGGAAAAGGGGAGGAAGGCTGTCATGTTTTCGCTGTATGTTTGACTCGGTCCTCACAATTCATCTTCTGCCCTCTCTCTTCTGTGCCACTCTTGCAGTGACGCACCATCACTTTCTGCTTCTTCTTCCCGCATCCCCAGATCACATGCAGCAGGGCAGAAACTCCTACTGTGTTCTCTTCCTTTCCTTTTTTTGCTACATCTCCCCCCTCTTTATCTCTGTTGCCGTTTCTTGTTTTCTTCTTCTTCTTCCTCTTTCTCAGACATCTCACCTCCTATACAGCAGGAATCGTAAGCGAACGGCGCTTGGTATCATCATCACCATGAGCCCCTTCCGTCTACGCATGCGTCTGGCCAGACTGCGCAGACAGCTCGCCCTGCTATTTGCCCGACGAAGGATGGCGGGCAGCAAGAGGAGAGCGAGGCTCCGTCGACGATGCCAGCCACTCCCTCAAAGGATCGTCGGTAACATGGCCCCTCCGACTCGAGAGAAGCATGACGATTTCGAAGGAGGAGCAGGAGGAGGAGCAGGAGGAGGAGCAGGAGGAGGAGCAGGAGCAGGAGCAGAAGTAGGAGGACAGGTGAGGAAAGTGACCGACCCCCAAGCCACGGCGGTCCGAGAGATCTACGCCAATCGTCCTCTACCACCCATCCCCAACCACACTCGACGAAGCACCTCCTGCAGTTCAGAGGCGCCTCCGTCACAGGCAATGGCACCATGGCAGATGAAGCCCCTGCCGCCATGCCCTCCCCCAGAGCGGCAGCACCGACACACCCCGATCCCGAGCGTGGCCGGCCATCGCCGCCGCTCGAGCTTCCCCACCGGCCGCCAGACCGTGCACAAGACCCACCAGCTCACGGGGTGTGACGTAGACGTGCAACAGTATGACGGCCCGCTACTGTCTCCGCGGCGGCGCAGGGCAAAGATCGGCTTCAGCGACCGATGGGTAGCTTGGGACTATCACCACTTCGCGACGGAGCTGGCAGCGTGCCGCGCACCCACCTCGTCGTCTTCGGCATCCTGGTCGTCCGAAGCGGCGGCGGCGGCGGCATCAGACAACTACTACCATCACCGTCACCACCACCGCCATAACCACATGTACTCGGGTCCACCGCCGTCACTGAAGCAGTCTACCGCCTCATCCTATTCCTCCCGGTCGTATCCCGGGCAAGGTAGTCGTGGTAACAATGGTACCATCGGTGGTGACGATGACGGTCAGGCTACCTGCGGGTATCCGTCCCGTCGAGACGGGACGCAGCGTCCGAGTCTGGGCAGCGCGTTTGGCAGCGACTCGGGTGACGGTGGAGGTGATGATTTCGGCAGGATCATCGGGTCGATACGGGGCCTCGTCGGGGGCGTGGCGGCGTCGACGACGATGAGGATCAAGCGCTGGAGCCGTGGGCCGTTGACAAGGTTGCACTCTTCGCCGACGCCCAGCCCACTCGGTGTCGTCTGCGAGGGTGTCATCTCTACGGCCGGTAGTGAGAGGAGCAGCAGTGAGAGCAAGACTGCACGGTGTTGAGATGTCCTTCTTCTTCTTCTTCTCCCCTTCTTTTCTTCTATCCTTTTTCTTTCTCTCGCTCTCATCATCACTTCGCTTTTTCCATTTTGAAAGATGGGCGCACCCCGAGGCACTTGCTATTTTATTGTCATGTTGCAGACTTATTTACTTATCTTCAGTCTTTTCAGACATATCATAAGAGAGAGAGAAAAGACAATCGAACCATGGGAACAACACAGCATCATATGATATTGAGATGCCGAGTCTCGCTAATACTGTATATAACAATACGTACAATGTATTCTTATATACACATACACACACGCACCCACTCACCATGAGTTTTCCCCACCCCCGCAGATCCCGCTATCGATAACGAAGGCGTCACATCCCGATACTCGGCCCCCTCCAAACCCCCACCAGGTCTGAAATCCGATTTCCCCTTGCACCAAAATTCCCAAATAAGTTCTTGATTCTCCGTTCTCTCTTCCTGATCTCTCCCCCACCTCAACCCCCCCTCCTGTCCATCACGTCCTCTTGGCTCCTGTGATCCAGAAGGAAAAGAAAGAAAAGAAGAGGAAGAAAGAGAGGAAAGAAAAAAAAGAAGGAAGGCGAGAAAGAGGAAGGAGAAGGGGACAAGGAGAAGAACGATGACGACCATCCAGACCGCCTCCTCCTCGGATGCAGAAGCAGCAGCAGAAGCAGCAGCAGCAGCAGCAGCAGCAGCAGCAGCAGCAGAAGGAGAAACACCCAACCTTGCGACTCCAGACATCGAGGCCGTCCAGGCCGCCGTGCGCGAAGCCCTCGAAGCATCTTCGTACTATGACGCATCTACCATGGCGCCTCTAAGCCCATCATCAGCAGTCAGTCTCTCTTCCCATCTCTCATCTCTCTCTCTCTCATCTCTCTTTGCCATTCTCCCGCAGTGCACACCTCCTCTCATCTCCCTCTCAACACATCACACACACACACACACACACACACACACAAACCAAAACAAGACAAATCAGCAAGGGAAAATAAAATAAACAAATATATATATCTATATATCTATATATATGTGCATATATATAAAAGATTGCCATTTCTCGTCTCCGAGCCTACAGACCGCCGCCTTTCCCCCTGTGGGATAAACTACCGGCTCGTAAACGCGCGGCCGTCCTGATCCTCCTGTACGCCGATCGATGGGGCGACCTTCGCGTGGTCATCACCATGCGCGCCGCCAGCCTACGCAGCTTCTCCGGACATGCGGCCCTCCCCGGAGGCAAGGCCGATAGCACACAGGAGACACCATGTATGCTTTTTCTTCTTCTTTCTTTCTTTTCCTTTCCCCTTCCTCTCGGTTCACTCCATCTCTGGGGTCTGACACATGAGGGCAAAAAAAAAAAAAGACCAGATTGCTCGTCGTGAAGCTTCCGAAGAGATTGGACTCCCCCTAGACGATCGCAACCTCCCGAAACCCTTCCGGGTCGAGCAGCTATGCTGCCTCCCACCGTCCCTGGCACGGACGCACCTCGTCGTCACGCCCTGCGTCGCCTTCCTCCACGCGGACCGGACCGCGGACACCGTGGCTGCCGACGGCACCGGCGGCGATGGCGGCGGCCGCCGCGGCGGGGGAGTAGGAGGAGTAGAGGGAGTAGGGGGAGAGTCCGACGAGGTCCGGGTCCAAGAGTCCATGATGCCACACCTCGACGCCCGCGAGGTGGCCGCCCTCTTCAGCGCGCCGCTGTACAACTTCCTGCGCGACAGGGACCTGCCCCCCCCCGCCGGGAGCGGCCAGACCCTTCCGGACGGACCCTTCTACGATGGCTACTGGAAGGAGTTCAAGGACTATCCCTGGCGCGTGCACAACTTCTACGTCCCCGTCAACAACCAGCGCGTCATCAAGCCGAGACGCAGGCGGCAGAGCAGCGCTGCCAGCGCCGCTGCTACCACTACTCCGGCACAGGCGCAGGACGGCGCCGGAGCGCAGGAAGCCCTGGCTGACAAGCTGGATGAGGGCGGCCGCTTCAAGGTATGGGGCATGACGGCGCGCATACTCGTCGATGCGGCCAGGATAGCCTACGGCGAGGAGCCTGACATGGAGCACAACGACAGTTTCGGGGACGCCGACATCATACTGGCTGCCGAGAAGGAGGGTGTTCTCAGAGACGATCCTGGTCGGGGGAAGATGTAGCTGTCCGTCTTGGGTAAAGGCTAGGCCGCTGATCTGATCTACCCGTATATCCTACGCTTCGACGATGCATACATATAGATCGCGGTTTCCAAAACACAAGCTCTTTTTTTTCATCGGACCCTCATTCGCCATCATGCTCATGCCTGTGGGATGCCTCGTAGCATTCCAACAGCATCATGGAAAGACCAGAGAGAGATGCCCCTAACATTGGGTATCTCCCGAGGTGGCCGCAGAGTCCAGTCTCGGCATTTAATGGCACACTTCATCCTTGGTAGCAGACGACCCCTTTCCAAAGACGACGTACCCCGCAAAAGCGCCGATGGCGACGGCAATCATGATCCAAGCATTGTACGTCATAAAGACGAGCCTTTTTTATTTGGGGGGGGAGGGGGGTATCAAGACGATATTAGCGTGCCACATAGGACACGGAGACAAGGGGGGAGGACGACTCACATCAGCATCAGTCCGTAAAAGTTTTGTAGAGCATACAAGACTCCCTTGGTGATGTGAGCTCTGTTGTAGGCGTCTTCCTGGTTCTGCCCTGGACGGACGAAAGGTGTCGTTTCAGTAACAGCGTCGTCACCGGTATCGTGGACTGATGGAAGCGGGGGGGGGGGGGGAGGGTCAGCTGAAGGTCCGTCTCGAGGCCGAATGGGTGCCGCAGGTTGTGGACTCACGTTCATGTTGCACATGTCTTCGTCCATGCCGCCGTGGCCGCCGTGGCCGTGGTCCATGTCTCCGTGGTCCATGCCTCCATGGTCCATACCTAGGTGATCCATTGTGTGGGTGGGGGAGTTCGATGTGAGAGAGTGCAAGAGATGGGGAAGCTCCGACGATGTAATCTGTATGTCTGATAGATATATAGAGGCTCTGATAAGCAAGAAGAAGAAAAAGAAGAAGAAGAAGACAAGAGAGGTCTCTCTCGGGTCAGGTGGTTAATGCTGGTGGTGATGATGGAGGCAGCGATGATGATGTGATCCCAGGAGGACGCAAGAGATTCAAGAGTGGAGAAGATAGCCGACCTGAGGCTCAGCAGTGGTTGGGGGAGGGAGGGGTGGGGGGGGAGCTGTTAGCTGTCTATCATAGCTGTCGCACAGCTGAAGCACTGTATTATATAGCATCTATACAGCTGTGACACCAGAGCTGAGAGCTGTAACGTCGACGGTAACGGGCCAAGGCCCGGGGGGGGGAGGGCGCACGGATAAGCGGCAGTCATCAGTTGCCCAACTTGCTCATCATTGATTACTGCCCACTGCGCCCCAGTATGATTATTCATGTATTATAGGGGAGATTCAGATAAACTTGCTCATCGCAGCATGATGATGAGTCTTGCCCATCCCTACGAAGAGAAAAGAAAAGAATACGTTCAACGCTGTCTCATGAGCTGTCTTGAAAAATCGTGGCATACATCTATTTTTCCTCTCCTCTCTTCTTCCCCGTCCTCTTCTCTCATCGGTTCCTACGGCTTCTGATTGAAAGTTCAATCACACGAGTACAGTCTACGGGAAGTTGCACACGCGGGGAAAGGCGCCATCACACCCGTTACATGCTAGCAGGAACGCTCTTGGATGACTTTATAGCCCGCTTCAAAAGACCGTTGATGATCGGTCTTGACGGGCTCCTCATCACTCGAAATGAGTGATTTACCATTGATCGTCGAATGCGTGGTATAGACATCAGCCTTCCCGAGAGCTTCTCACGAGGGAGAGGTAGTACTGTAATGCATAACCTGGCCCCGAGTTTAGATCGGTGGAGAGGCTCACCGACGTGGAGGGTAGACGTATCATCAATAGAAGTCTTCTGTCACATGTAACCAAGAGTATCATAAGATGCCAGCGTTATACCATGAGAGGATGAGTAATGCATCTTGATGTCCTCGACGTCCCAGATCACATGCGCCATCGTGACAGAGTGAAAGAGGCTTGTTCCCCCCCCCCCACGAACGAGCGTGAACCTTTTCCTCTCTTGTATCGAAGCAATTAGTAATCCACCTTCAGGTTCGGGTAGATCCCAGCCAAGCCGCAACCGCTCAAGAGATGTCTTCCTCTGACGCATCTCATGTATTGTTCCCCTCTGGGTATCGATTGTGATTGCATCGACCGAGGTGAGAGCCGCGAGCATCATCATAACTATTCATCATGCTCACTCCGCCCGTGAATCTGCCCAAGTGGTGAGTTTTTTTCTTTTTCTTTTCTCTTCTTCTTTTTTCCCTTCTGCTCTTTTCTTCTCTTCTCTTCTTGTCTCCTTCTCTCTTCGCCCTCGACTTATCACAAAACGACGGGTACCACAGGGGCTCCCCAAGGGCGTAACCGAATACTAAGACCGAGACCAAACATAGGCTCGAGGAAAATTCTCACCTCCTCCAACCGCCCATCAACAACTACTGCGTCTGGAATGATGACTTTACCGTCATGGTGGGTTAACAATCACCCAGGGGATACCAGAAAAAAGAAAGGGGGGAGGGGGGGAGAGAGGAGACATCAGTATGAATGGGATGCATGAGAACAGAAAAGACGAGAGAGAGAAGGAAGAAAAAGCGAAAACTTACCATGAATTGTCGGTAGATTGTCGGCGGCCCCAACGCCCGCACAGACTACCACATCAACCAGACGCCCGAGTGGTTCTACCAGCACAAGGGCGTCATGATGCTCAAGGTGGTCGACGACGGCGAATTCCGCGACATCCTCATCCGCGAGGGCGACATGTTCCTCCTGCCGGCCGACACGCCTCACAACCCCGTCCGCTTCGCCGACACGGTGGGCATCGTCCTCGAGCAGCGTCGCCCGGCCGGCTCCATCGACCGCCTGCGCTGGTACTGCGCCAACGCGGCGTGCCGCAGCATCGTCCACGAGGCCGGCTTCCACTGCACCGACCTGGGCACCCAGATCAAGGCCGCCGTAAACGACTTCAGGGCCGACGTCGACAAGAGGACGTGCCCGGCCTGCGGGGAGGTGGCTGACTCGGCCCCCAAGCCTGGGTCGATACAGGATCCGAACCTGGATCGAACTTGATGAAGCGAAAACAATAGCCAAATAGAGGGGGAGGGAAGGCGAAGAAGAAGAAGAGTGAATTGAGAGACGATTGCAACTGTACATCTGTGTACCTGTGTTGTATATACGTATAGATCTCGTTCCTTTTCGATTTATTTGATGATGCATATGATTTTCCTCAGTCACGCACACACACACACACACATAGAGAGTATATATATATATATATATATATATATATATATATGTGTGTGTGTGTGTGTGTGTGTGTGTGTGTGTGTGTGTGTGTGTGTTTGTGTGTGTATTATGTGTGTATGTGTGTATGTGTGTATGTGTGTATGTGTGCACGCACGTCTACAAATGCAAATGTAACCTCAAGTCTCGGCAAACGAATAAGAGCTAGGTGATTCCTCGACAGCAATCTCAATCTTGCCCTCCTCAATCTCCTCGCCGCCAACCCTGATGCCGGCACGCATCACGTCACCGGGTACGACGGACCCGACACCCTCGGGCGTCCCCGTGAGCACCACGTCACCCGGGTGCAGCGTCATGACCTTGGAGATGTCGCTCAGGATGCGCGGGATCTGGTAGATCATCAGCCTGGTCGAGCCGTCCTGGCGCGTCTCTCCGTTGACGTTGAGGAAGAGCTCGGCGTCGTGGGGGTCCGGGATGGCCGACTTGGGTATCACCTGGCTCAGGGGGAGGAAGGTGTCGAAGCCCTTGGCGATGGACCAGGGGAGACCTTTCTTCTTGGCCTCATCCTGGGCGTTGCGTGCCGTCATGTCGATTGCCACTGCGTAGGCTTCCCCCCCCCCCCAGAATGTCAGCATTTTCTTTTCTGACCTTTTCTTTCCCCTTCCCCTTCCCCATCCCCCCTAACACAGAAGAAAGCACCTCACCCCCAGAGAGAGAGGGGGGGAGAGAGGGAGAGAGAGAGAAGAGAACAAACCTTGAATAGCATCCAACGCTCCCTTGGTGTCATCGGCCTTGAGATCCCTCACAAGCTTGCCAATCACCAGAGCGAGCTCAACCTCGTAGTGCAGGTCCGTGCCCTTGGGCCTCAGACACGGTCCCTCACCCGGCAGGACCATGGAGGACGTCGGCTTGAGGAAGAAGAATGGCTGCTTAGGCTTGGTATTGTTGAGTTCGGTAATGTGAGCACTTATATATATTTCACATGTCAGCATGACCGTAAACCGTATGATTGACGTGATGCGCTGCAGGAGAGAGAAAAAGAAGAAGAAAACGACAATCCATTGATTGCATCCGGAAAGAAAATAAGAGAAAAGTAAAAGTAAAAGTGAGAAGAAATAATTGAAGAAGAAAATAATGGAAGAAAGAGAAAAAAAAACTCACGCATAATTTCGTCCGATGCAAACCACCTTACCAGCCTGCTTCAGAGATGAAGCCTGCGCCGAAGCCGAGGACAGAGTAGCCATTGTTCTCCTGATTCCAAACATGCTTTACGTCCAAAGGGGGGAAGGAGGAAAGTAAAGGGCGAAGAAGAGAGAGAAGAGAGAAAAAACCTCAATGGAGATTTGACGTATTCGAGGGTTGGTAATGTCTGATTGATCCGGGATCGGATCTTGGTATATCGAATTCCGATTGCGCTGGTCCTCTCAGATGAAGATTGATAGCATGGATGAAGGAGGAGGAGGAGGGAGGAGGAGGAGGAGGAGGAGGAGGCTGGCAAGAAGACACTTTCTCCGCGACGTAATTATTGCTGACCGAACGACGGTAAATCCTCCGAAGTTGGCAAGGCCAAGCCCCCCCTCAGTGTCCTCATCCACTTCGGATACGTTCCGCTCAGCTTATCAACTACACATCTACTCATCCGAATATGTCATCATTATTAGGGGAAAGGGGGGGGGGAAGACTTTTTTTTTGGAAAAACATTTTTTTGTTCAATTCAAAATTCATTTCACTTTTTGTATCATGCCCTGTTCGCTTTCAATGTTATGCGACTTGAAGGTGCGGGGTGGGGGGGGGGGTATGCCGTCTAAATCGTAATATAAAAAAGCATCAATGGAAACCCGAAAACGACGAGTTAAGATAGAAACCTGATAGGTAACGAGGCCGTTTCTAATTGATTTCATCGCCTTTTTTTTTTTTAGTCCTTGGGCTTAGGCAACATATCGGTACATGGATGGTGCGCCGTCCTCGTCTGGTCGCTCGAGATATTCCCGGACAATCAGGTCCTCGATCCGTTTCTTGATGAGCGACACCTCGGGCTTGAACCGACCGACGAGCTGGCCTAGCACTTCGTTGACGAGGTGCATATGGCTGAGCTCCTTGCGAGATCTAGATCTTCCGTTAGATACCACCACATTCTGCTGCTGCTGATGATGATCCTCAACGTTGAAAGAAGAAGAAGAAGAAGAAGAAGAGAAGAAGAAAGGCTTACTTCATGATCCTGACGATGGCAGCGTCAACCACGTGAGAGCGGGTCTGATTGTTCTTGCTCTCCGTCGTCTTACGCTCCTGCGTATCCTCCACCTTGGACACTGCGTTGATGATGGGTGCCTTGATGCGCACCATCTTGCTGACAAACGAGGCGTTGAAGCTGAACCTGTCGCCCACCTTGACCGACTTGGTCGGGGGCTCCTTGGCGAGGACGCGCGATTTGGGCGCCACGGCGATGGCCATCAGCGTCCGGATGAGGTCGGGTGTCGAGATGTTCGTCTTGGCCTGAATCTCCTCAAACGAGAGCGACTCGTCGTCGGCCAGGTCGTTGAACAGTTGCAGGACCACCATGCCAAACGTCGACACGTTGAGCTCGTAGCGGCGCGGCCGGGAGAGGGGTCCCTGCTTGCCGGGGATGGCGGGGAACGTGCACTTGATGTCGGCGCTTCCCGTGGTGCCGATCCAGGTCAGCTTCCTGCCGTTGCGGTTCGAGAGGTAGAACTGCTCGAAGCTGGCCTGCAGCCGCGCGATATCCCGAGGGTACGTGCACGCTCCGCGCCACCCTTCGCCCATCTGCGTCGTGCGGCCCATGACCTCGGCCGGCCAGTTGTTGGTGGTGAGGACGCTGATGCTGAGATCGATCGTCTTGGCTTCCTCGTCATCGGCAGCCGCGCTCATATGGTCCCGGTATCCGGCCGTGAGTTCCGTCGACGTCACGAGATCCCGGAACATGCCCTCGAACTTTGTCGTAAACTGCTGCCCCATGTCTTGCTTCATGCGTGAGATGATTTGCTTCTCGACGTCGTGGCTCTCCGACTTGCCGTGCAGCAGTCTCCGCGCCAGGTGGCGCTGGTAGTACGTCTGGAAGAGGTCCTTGTCCTGCAGGTACCGGATGAGAATGATGGCCTTCTCCAGAACGGCATCGACCTCGGCCTCGGTCTTGCCCTTTATCCCCCTCTTCAAGTTGTCGTCGATGAAGAGAGAGACGTACTCGGATGACCGTCCAAAGTCGTTGATGAATTCAGAGAAGCTCTTTGTAAGCGCGCTCTGGATCATCAGGTCGTCGTGGAAGCACTGCCACGACAGGTTGTCGAACTTGTCCTTGAGCCGCAGAACATCATCCACCCACTTGATGGCCGCGGCGGTCTGCTGCGCAGCAGGGTTGAGCGTCTTGACCTTCTCGCCCTCGCCGTTATCCTCTCCGCCCGGCTGGGCGATGGAGAAGTCCGTGTTCTTGAGCGCCTTCTCAACTTCCAGCCCGAGCTCTACCACACGCTTCTGCAAGATTTGCCGGATGGATGTCTTGTCGGGCTCCACTCTTGCTATGAGGCGATAGAGGATGGTGAGGTCCTCAATCTTGTCGTTGTCGATCATCCACCTCAGCCCACTTCCTTCCAGGGCCAAGAAATCGGCCAGGTGGCGCTTTATGAGCTCGTCCTCGATCACGCCGCACACCTTTGTCAGCGTCTCGAGCTCGATGGTGGTGCCGCAGCGGTCAATCTCCTCTGTCAGACGCTTATCGGTCTGCCGCAGCCATGAGTTGGCGTCAGACTCGCGCAGCAGGCGCTCGCACTCCGTCGCGTAGAACTCCCGGCTGCGGTCCAGGAACCTGGGTTCGAATTCCAGGAGATAGAGTTTGTCGCATTCGTTTTCGTTGGCGTCCTTGAATAGGCAGCTGAGCATGCGGCTGCAGCTCCGGATGAGCGCCCTGTCGATGACGTCTCCCTCGCGCTCCATATTGATCTGATCCAACATGACGGAGATGAGCGTGTCCATGACGAGGGCGTCCGAGCTGGCGCTGAGTCTGGACTGCAGGATATGGTCTCTGAACAGCGCTATGGTCGTCGTAAAGATGGGGCTCCGTTCGGGGTTGTTGTGCGAGAAGCCCCGGTCGAGGTACATGAGGATGTCGGCCATCATGTTCATGGACATGTTGTGGTCGTTCCACGTATCGCGAAGGCCCTTGAGGAACCTCTCTCCAGTCTGGCGCCGCTCGTTCAGCGACGTGGGAGCGGCTACCGCCTCGTCGCCGATGCTGACAAGGCTCTTGGTGACGAGCTGTTCGATCTTGGGTATGACATTGATGGCGAACCACTCCTCCTCAAACCTGGTGACCTTGTCGTACAGCTGGCTGCCTTTCTTCTTCAAAACTATTTTGTAAGCAGCGCGGTAGAGTTCTTCGAATGACAGGCGGCTGCAGTTCTTGGTGTGTATGTCTCGAAGGGCTTCCTCTAGCAACTCCCAACATGCCTCGAAATCGGCCGCATCGTTGGTCTGTTTTTCCAACCAAACAAGAGTTAGCAAGAAGATCCTCTCTGTTCATTCCCAACGTTCGTCGGCATCTTGGCAGGTCGCGCATTCTCCAGCTCTTCGGGCCGACACCGGGGCGTCGGGCACATGGCGATGCCGTATTGCTTCTCCATACTCTAGTATGCCCTAATGGTAAGGAGAGTTAAGGGGGGTGACGGGGAAGGATATGACAAGATGGTTGGGTAGGGGGACTGTAAAGCGAAGAACAGCAGGTCGCATGTTTGTCACGGTATAGAGGCGGGTGAATGCAGACTGAGGGTACCTACCCGATTTATGCGGCGAGGCGGGCGGATGCGGCCACCTCGTGCGCCCGCTCCCCCTCGCCCGGATATCATTTCGCCCCGTGTATGGGTATGGGCAGCGGGTCATGTAGCTTCGCAGCGGTCTGTTTGAGATTTCGCCGGTGTTAACGGTTGGGCATGGTTCGTCGCGACGGAAGACGCCGGGATCGAAGATGGAGGGGTAGTCGGGTTCGTGAGGATGCAAGCTCTCGGCACGAGGATGAGTGATTGGATGTTTGCGTATACAAGACAACTCCAGACGTGGGGATTTGTACTATAACCCAAGAGTGTCCTTCCAGACACGAGCCTATCGGAAAAACTAGCCCGCAACTGAGGTCGAGGGGGTATAGGGGGAAGGATATATATAGCACAGCAAAGACGGCCGAGGACTTCTATCGCGAGGGATGGTTTGAAGACTAGTCCCGCTTCCCCAAATGAGGCCTTATCGATAACATCAGGCATTGCCCCTCAGCAGAAGCTCAAGTCAGTTCAGCAGCACCGGAATAAAGTTGATCCAAATCGGCAAGTCAGTCCCGGTTCCCGCTGCAGAATCAGAGAAGCCAAAGAAAGAGCGCGCCCATCCGCAGCTCGTCACGTGCATATACGTATCGAGCAATATGGGCGTGAGCTAGAGTCAGACGAATACCGACAGTTTCAAGCTACACCCAGCCTCTCGCGACGGACCCAAAGCCTTGTCGCGACACCGACAAACAAAAATCCGCCTTCGTCTCCCCTTCACCACTTTCCCTCCCACCGCATCCAACACGCACGCCAGATACACACACTATACAAGAGCTTGAGTCTGCAGCTTGCAGCCCGCCGCCCAGGATGAAGCTCGTGCGGTGAGGAAAATCGGAGGGTCAACCCCGCCAGTCTGGATATAAGACTGACTTGGACTTGTCTTCACAGGTTCCTGATGAAGTGCACCAACGAGACGGTGACGATTGAATTGAAGAATGGTACGCAACCCTGTCATACACACGATCCCTAGGAGGAGGATAGAAGAGGGGTCTACGGTCAAGACTGACATGGGGTTTTTTTTTTTTTGGTAAAAAAAAAAACAGGCACAATTGTCCACGGCACCATCGCCTCCATCTCGCCGCAGATGAACACGGCCCTGCGCAACGTCAAGATGACGCCCAAGGGCCAGGACCCCATCCCGCTCGACTCGATGAACATCCGCGGTTCCACCATCCGCTACTACATCCTTCCCGACTCCCTCCCCCTAGACACCCTCCTCGTCGACGACGCGCCCAAGCCCAAGAACAAGGCCCGGAAGGAGGCCGACCGTGGCGGTCGTGGAGCCCGCGGACGTGGTCGCGGTGGTCCTCGTGGCCGTGGAGGTCCTCGTGGAGGTCGCAGGGGTTGAGGGGGGATGCTGCTGTGCGCGAAGCGATGATGACAATGACAAGAGACCAGGGTGTTTCTGCAACTGGTGTATTACATTGCAGCAAATGATAAAAAAGAAGAAGAGACGGTCAAAGACGGTATCTCGGCGTTTTTTTTTTCTCGGGACGTTTCATCTGCCATGAAAGGAAAGGGTGGGGGGGGGGGGGGTTAAACTGATCTGTGTGTTCATTACCAGCTCAGGGCCTTGGCAGCTGGTTTGGGATATGTATCTGCATTATGAAAACAAGGCCGCCGGTGCCAGTGTGCGCCAAAGAAATAAAGAAGGGGAAGGAGAAGAAAAAAAAATCACAAAAGTACCCAGATGATGGCATCAGTCATCCGTAATACATTCTGTCTATGATGCCCCTCATCTTCCCCCCCCCCCCCTATGATACGTCATGAAAACCCCCGAGTCGAGGAGAGAAGAGAAGCAAGGTCGCTCATCGTCCCTCCCTCCATATCCGTACAATCTGGAGCTTCTCCCGCCCAGCCGTCTTCCCACTCGACCCAACCGTCACGGCCGTCCAGTGCCGCCCGAGCCTGGCCGGTATGCTCTCCTTGACCTCGTCGGGCTTGTTCTGCGCGCAGAAGAGGATGTAGGCGCACCCGCGCGGCGAGAGGATGTCGGGCAGCCCGTCGATGAGCCTGTCGGTCGTCTCCATGCCATCCCTGCCGCCGGCGTACGACAGCGAGAGCAGGTACGAATCGTGGTCGAACGAGGGCGTCGCCTTGCCGTCCCCGTCCGGCCGGGAGCCGTCGGGCCGCAGCGGCATCTCGGACGTGGGCACGTAGGGCGGGTTGAAGATGAGCACGTCGACGGCCCGGCTCCTCAGGCAGCTCGTCAGGTCGCCCATGGACGTGCCCAGGAACCCGAGGGCGTGCGTGGCCGCGTTGTCGGCCTGCGCGCGCCGCACCGTCTCGCCCGTGGCCCGGCACGCGTAGGCGTTCACGTCGATGCCCGCCGTGAGCACGGCCCGCGTGCCGAAGAGCGTCCGCGCGTGGGCGTGCACAAAGGCCAGGACCACGCCTGAGCCCGTGCCTACCTCGACGGCCAGAGGGGCCGGGCATCCTTCGTCCCCGGAGAACCGGCCCGTCAGGAATGTCGTCTCCGTCGTGCTTGATAGTGTGTCCAGCAGGAGAAAAGAATCTTCAGCTGGCTCGTATACCCTCTCGTAGGGGACGTGTGATGTGTCTGGTGTGGGCAGCATGTTTCTTGTCTCTCTCCCTCCCTCTCTCTCTCTCTTGTTTGAGTCTGTTTCTTCTCTCGCGATTATCTCTCCTTTTCTCCTTTCATTTACATGGCCAGCAATGCCGTGTTGGTGAGATGCGTACAAGTTGAACGAGTAAATGTTGAAATATGTTTACTTTTTTTTCTTTTGCCCACTCTTCCACTCTGTCCCCGCCCTACACCCTCCTTTCCCCAGCCTATTACTAGTTCGACACTCTCTGCTCTCTGCTCCTTTTCTTCTTTTTAGGGGGGAAAAAAATACATCGTCGCTCACAACATGGCGAATAGAGTAGCAGGACAGCTCTACATGATAACGCACCAATTTCCACTCCCAAACCTCATCTCCAATCCCCAGTCCTCCATGGCCGGTCCGGTCCCCCACTTGAGCCCCCATCCTCTCTTCTCCACCATGCGCACCGTGTTGACATCGTACTGGTAGCGGGTCAGAGCGGCAACACCACCGCCGCCGCCGCTACCGGGAGGATTGCTGGCAAGATTGCGGCCCTCACACCGGGGGCAGGGCCTCGTCATGGTACGGCATATACCGGGTCGTGGCTTCTCGTCGATCGTCCGGCCGTTTGCCGCGTAGAAGATATCGCAGGTGACGAAGCCCATTCCTGGACCGCAGGGCTCGCTGATGACGGCCCACGTGTGTTTGCATTTTTTGTGCTCGAACATCGTTGTTCTGCACATCTTGCCCTGCTTTCCTTCTCTTCTGCCTTGACTGATCTTTTATCTTCCGTCTCGTCTTTCCAGCTTGAGCTCGATCAGGGAGATTCTGATGTCAATGAGTCTCAGCGGTCGCATAGCATGGGCTCAACTATGGCTTGTCTGTAGGACGTGTGATATGGCTCAAGATGTGGGTGAATCAGTGGTCAGACTCGGACGCGATTATTCCCTACACCATCCATCTACTTACTATTCATACTAATATTTTTTTTTGATGAATGCATCCTCCGCCAAATGCAACGCTTTCTATTATCCTTTTTTCTTCTGGTGTATGATGCCTGCATAGAAACAGTCGAAAGGGGGAAGATATGAAAAAAAAAAAAAGAGGGACGGTATACACCAAGCCTTACTCCTGCCCTCTGAATGACGATTCCACCGCGAATCCAGACTCTTCCATGCTCCCCACCGCCGTATCTTCTTCCTTCCTCTCATCTTCCCCGGCAGCCTCGACGCTGATGCCGTCTCCTTCCCGCGACGACACGAGTTTTGCCATGAGGGCCTCCATCCTGGCCATGGACTTCTTCATGGCGTTCAGCCTATCGGACAGATTCTCGTAGTCCTCCGTCTCGGAGAAGGAGCCACGCAGTCTCTGCCTGATCCCCGGGAAGGTAGAGTCGCGCCTAGAGAGTTTCTTCTTGGGATCCGGATGGGGGGAGGCGGTACCGCTGGCACTGGCGCTGGCACTGGCACTGGCACTGACGTTGGTACTGGCGTTGGCCTCGGCCTTGGCTTTGGCCTTGGCGTCAGCATTCCTTGTAGCGGCAGACTCCGTGCCGGGATCGGTGCTCCTGTGCATAAACTGCCTTCGGATCAGGTGGCGCGTCATCTCGTCATCCACCGCGATATCGTCAGCCACATCATCGGGAGGGGGCAGCTCAAAGACGGCGCGCAGGCTGTTCTGCGCCGACAAGTTCCACCGCTGGAAGAAGGCCTTGGGCGATACGGCCACCTTCATCCCCTGGGGCCACAGGAGGCGGCGTTCGGCGACGGCGATGAGCAGCAGGACGGGGAAATTGACCACCTTGACGGTGGCGACGTGGATCTTGTGGAACCAGCGCGGGCTGACGACAAACTTGAGTGGCAGGAAGACGAAGACGGCCAGGATATTGAAGGGCGGCGGGTAGGCGAAGACGGCGTCGGCCTTGACGCCCTCGAGGGTCAGGACGGCGTGGCGGAACTGCATCTCGGCCACTGCGTTGGACGAGATGGTGCTGAAAGTGTTGGACAGCATCGACACCAGGATGGTCAGGAAGAGCGTGTTGCCGAGGAAGGCGAAGGTGACCATGATGCCCGGTCCGAGAACCGGGTGGAATTCCGCCTAGGTGTGCATGAGGTCAGCCCCGGCTGCGTCCTCACGCACCGTACGCTCGACGGGGGTCTGCGACATACCGAACGATGGATGCCGACGCCGTCCAAGCCAAACCAGATGTAAATCATCCACTTGGAGATTGTCCTGAGCAACGACAAAGTCAGCATCACATGCCATCGATATCCGGGGGTCTCGATCGACACTCACACCCACGGATGCGCCCCCTCTCCGAGCCAGAGCAGAGAGAGCAGGAAGCCGAAGAAGCACCAGGCCGTCAGGGCCGTCAAGGCGAAGAAGTCGGACATCATGGACCGCAGCGACAGAAAGATGAGGTTGTCAGACAGTATGGTGAAGGCCAAGCGGGGCACGACGACAGGCGCACCCAAAGCCAAGACGTCGAGCGACTGTTCGGCCATGTGCCAGTCGTCGCCGAGCCAGCCGTATAGCCGAGCGACGAGGTACACGGAATATATGATGATGAAGGCGACATCGAGAAAGGACCACAGGTTCTGCGAATAGACGTTCCTGCATGGCAAGTCAGCCGCGGTGCACACACGCATTCCGTGACGGAACAAGACGGATTGACGGGCCGACAAACCATCCGTGAGCGAGGATAGTAGCGAACTGATCAAGACCCCATCCGAAGGCGTAGATGATAAACATGGCCTCCCACCAGCCCAGATCAGCCTTGTGCCTGGAAATCATGACGCCGACATACAGGGCCAGCAGGACGGCAAACTGGATGGCCTCGAGGACGTTCCTGTTCCGCGGCACGATGAGCCTGTACTGGTTGAGCAGGGGAGAGTCGCGCGGCTCGTACAGGGTGATGGGCTTGAGCTTGTAGTGGTCGGGGATGATGTCCCAGATGGTGGAGGGCGTGTATATTATGTGGCCGTGGTAGATGGCCGAGACGACCTTCTGGCACGACGTGGAGCTGAGGAAGTGCTTGCTCTCGGTCAGGATGGCGACCTCGAGGGAGGGCAGGGTGCGCTTGTACGACCACGACGTCTTGCCCTCGACCGCCCGCAGGATATCGGCCGGGGCGTTCTGGAAGGGCTCGAAGCTGGCGATGAGGATGTGCGCCAGCAGCAGGAGGCCCTCGGGACCCTCGTGGTCCTCGTTGAAGCGCCGGAGGATGCGGGTGGCGATGAGCTCGCATATCGTGGCCCGCGACCAGTTGACGTTCTGCCGGTTCGTCAGGTGGGCCTGCTCGTCGAGGAACTGGGCCCGGTTGACGAGCAGGCAGTAGACTATCGAGATGTCGTCGAGCTCGTAGAACTTGTCCACCAGCGGCCGCACGACCGTCACGTTGATCCTCACGTCCGTCAGCTGCTTCAGGCTGAGGTAGTCCTCCACCACGCTGATGATGTCACGCCGCACTCGGTGGATCGTCGTGTACACGGGCAGGTGACTGTGGGGGTCCGGCTGGCAGCTGTAGATCGGGTCGCCATTCTCGCCGTGGTCGGTGTAGAGTCTGTTGAGAAGGGGTCGACGCTCGTCGGGGGGTGTCGAGAGGACGACGCGCCTCTGGGGCGGAGGCGCAGACATGCGTGGTGGTGTGTCTTGCTCCTTCGCCTGTTTGCCTGTTTGCCTGTTTGTTTTTCCTTACGTGTTCTCGCGGGATTTGGGGGGTTTTAGGAAAGGAGCTGATGATGAGTTTTTCCACCCCTACCAGCTGCTATATGTATGTGATGACAGTGATGTCGATCGTCTTGTTTGTGCTGGTATCGTCTTTTTCTTCGTTTCTTTTTTTGGTAGAAAGGGGAGAAGCACGTTGATGTCAGAGAATGGAGAGGTACCGGGACCCAATGACGACGGAGCCACCACCACCACCACCATCACTTTTAACGGTCCCTTTTGACGGTCGGCTCATGGTATTATTACAGTATCAGCGTGTTCAATACACATACATCTTGGATCTGCATAGAATTGGTGACAGATCCAATTTATTCATTTCTCAAGAAAAAAAATTCTTAGCAACTCATATCTATCTGCCGTGGTTTCTTTTTTTTCTTCCCTTTTTCCTTTTTTTTTTATACCTCAATAGCGTATCTTCTTTGACCAGATTCATAGCTTCGCTTTATCTACATCGCTCTCCTCGGCTGCCCTCCGCACCAATCCCCAAGCATACTCGGCCGAGGCCCCCCTCGTAGCAGCATGACATCTTGCCCTGTCGCTGCCGGGCTGACGGAGAGCATACCTGGCCGCGATGCCCCGGCACACACCGGCGAGCTTCCATATGTTGAAGGACGTG